AGTCACTGTCCCCACCATCAGCGAGGATAAAATGCTTCTTACTTGAAAAAGAATAACGTTGGTACGGAGTAAGTTTTTGGATGTGATGCTTCTGACCTGTAAAAGAATAACCCTGGTGCGGAGTAAGGTTTTCGATGTGATTCCTCCCTTTGTACTAAACTTCCCCATTGACTAGAAGTGCGTGCTTGCACTAAGACCACATTCACAACTAGGATCACTTCTTACGTCGGCCCTGTATAGGCGAAAAAGAAGTGGAAGATTTTTTCATCATCTCTATTAAGCAAGAAACTGTGTTGTTCTTTTCCACCTGCGCAAAAAGAGGCTCGGATGTACTGGTGGTTTAAGCAAGAAACTATGTACAAGTCGCCGCAAGACTTCTGGGCCTTCCTATCCGTCGCAAGAAGCAGCTGTACAATTATGTAGTCATCGTTCCTTTTCGATATCCTGGAGCTGACTCGTCTTTCTTGACAATGCTTCAGGTGAAGCAGGTGCAGACAGAAACGCTGAGGATGGAAACAGGTATGGCGACGGCCATGGGCACAGAGATGGGAGTTAGGATGAGAGCAGGATTTTGGACCAGTTGCCATGCGTGGGACCAGGGATTTTGGACCAGTTGCCATGCGTGGGACCAGGGAAAATGGGATCGGACAACCGGGCAAGGGACGAAGGGAGTGATGATGGAGCAGGAAGGACGCGTGGAAACAGAAGCACAGTTTGAAGCAGGGATAGGAATAGGGGTGAGGGACCAGGGATGGGACCAGGGATGGGACTGGGAATGGGAACATGGATAAGCAGAGAGACAAGGGGGGAACTGAACACTCCAGGCTGTCCATCCTGCCTAATGTACACAGAAATGATTCCACAGACGAAGAAAAAGAAAATCCCTAGAAAATAGTAGAGATTTAGAAAACAAGAAAAATATCCTGCTCTGTACATCTACCACCACTCTTAGCATGACCCCATCACAGTGCCAACTCCTGAACTCTACGTGACCATTTGCCATGCGTGGGACCAGGGATTTGGGACCAGTGGCCATGCATGGGACCAGGGATTTGGGACCAGTTACCACGTGGGACCAGGGAATTTGGAAGATGAACAAAAGGGGAAGCGGGGGCGGAGCTCAGACTCCTGACATTCATCCTGCCTAATGTACAGAAACGAATTCACGGGCACGAAACCAGTCACTGTGAGGCGAGAATCTTCTGCCCTGTACGTCAACCACCCACCATTCTTAGCAATGCTCCATCAGAGGGCCCCTATAAGCCACCTGTCTCGCAACCTTCCGTGAGAGTCTTAATCCTCCTTCCTTCGCTTGGCTCTCCTATGTATTCCCCTTCAGAGGGTGAAGATTGGATAAACGCTACTTTTTGGCAGTTCGATCCTTCTTCTTGGCCTGCGGGTTAGCATCTGGCGGAGCCGCTGGCGGGTACATTCGTAGAACAGCATATGCAATCAACATTGCGCCTGGCATAACCACGTACTCCGCACACTTGGAAGGCTTGGAGAGAAAAGAACTAAAAGATCCCAAGCCCATCTCTGGATTGATCCCGTGACCAACTCACAACAAACTGGGTAGCGTGTTGGGTTCGCGGGCTCACGCAAAAAAGCAGCAAGCAATTGATTTCCGACCACCCTTGTCAGCACCGCGGGTGGTATAAATGCAACCGCCACAACTCCCTCACACAAACTTGATAATGCGTGAAATTGAGTGAACGCCACACAAGTCGACAGGACAACACTGAACGGCAAACTGCTTTGTCACCCGGTTCAAACCACCTCACAGTGACTCAAACACAGATGACAGATCTGGACAGCTAGATTGCACCTCCCTGATGAGGATGTCAGACATCAGACCAGTGCAATAAAACAACCTCGCAACGACCGGCAGGTGACGTAATCAGTCCTCGACACGACATCGAACGTTCACTGCACACAAATGTGCAGTAAAAAATTAAAAATCCTAAAGCAAGCACAGTTCAAACCTGCGAAGAATTCCAGATGCGTAATTGTAATCCTCCTGCCGTTTAAAACACTTGCGCCGTGGTCTCTGCTGTGTTAATTTCTGCCCATCCCAATGTCATTCCCGAGCAAGGGAACATGGTCTCAAAGATCAGTCGGCGACCAGAGGGACTATTGGGCGCCAAGGTACCCAAACGAAAGTGTTTCTAAATTCTAATGCACACTGCTGTGCCAATTTTTGTAGTGGTTGCAGGGTCAACCTAACCCTTCTTGAGTTGAACACAGCAACTGACAGCTGTGGTGAGGATGATTAGATCTTGTTAGGTGAATTTCTGCTCGCCACGCAAAATTACAAACCGGCTGCTTACTTCAAAGTTCAAACTCAGGATCAGCGCTTGACATCCATGCCAGCGCCGTCTGCCCGTCTGCAAAAGGAGTGACAGAAGCACAGACGACCAATGTCATCTACTCTCATATGATAGGTCATCTAGTAATGTGAGGTCATCTCGACATGATAGCCACAGTAGACATGATAGCCATGAGAGCCATGATAGTCATGATAGCCATAATAGCCATGCTATTAGTAATACGCCCTAGGCTCAGTAGTTCTGTTCCAAATGCAGTAGTGGCTTAAGCTCCGCCTTAAAATGCAAGTGTCTCATTCTTTTCTTTTCTTCGGGGGTTGGGGGTGGGGGGGTAGGGGGGGTGGGGGGCGTGGGATTAGATCTCTTCACACTGTTCACAGTCTGTACCTGCTGATGTGGTTGTAATATTGACAGGGCACATTTACAGGTTCATTTCCATTTCCCATTTATGTTAGATAGCTTGCTTGTTTGGTTGGAGTCTCCAAAGAAGTGGGAATCTCCACCGTGGATGAGTGCAGGAAAGTGAACAACTGCAATAAGTGAAGAGAAAAATGATCATTCTCATGCGAAAAGGGAGAGGGGGAGAGGGGGAGAGGGGGAGAGGGGGAAGGGGGGGTAGGGGGTAGGGGGGTTGAACACCCCGAAACTGCAGCATAACAGGAGTCGAGGAACGCATACAGCTGGAATTAGTGAAGACCGATCATTCAGCTGCAATGAGCACAGCAAAAAAACAAACTCTGATGAAGGAAAGGCATTGCAATGAACCAATCCGAATTCAACCCTCATTCGCAACTTGCAGCACAAAGAACATTCAGAGAAATATTCATTCAAGCACCGAGCTGGGAAAATTAGCCCACACTGAGATGGAGATACTTCAAAACACTTCATATTATACAGAATTCGAGTTCATGATACAAGCTGTTATGGCCGCTATCGCCAACATCCACACACAGGTAATCTCTCTCTCTCTCTCTCTCTCTCTCTCTCTCTCTCTCTCTCTCTCTCTCTCTCTCTCTCTCTCTCTCTCTCTNCTCTCTCTCTCTCTCTCTCTCTCTCTCTCTCTCTCTCTCTCTCTCTCTCTCTCTCTCTCTCTCTCTCTCTATCTATCTATCTATCTATCTATCTTCCTCCCCCCACCCCTACTGGCTCTGGTGATCTTCTCCTTCCCGCTCTCCGACTGTGCCCAACTTGCGGGGCTGCACAAGCACTACAGCAGACCTTCCGCATCATACGAATTGACGAGTGAGGTCGAGCAGCACTGTAGTACCTATCAATAGCAATTCGTAGTGAGATCTTGGTCGGCTTCGGGGCGGTACCAGTTGCTGTGGCTTGTCAGCCTCACTATAAATAGCAGTTTGTAGTGAGATCTTGGTCGACTTCGGACCGGTACCGATTCCTGTGGCTTGTCGGCCTCCCTTTGCCAGTTCTGGAACCTCCCGGACTCTCCGAGGATGCTGCTGCAAAAAAATGGACTTTTGGAGTTCATACTGTGACGAACTGGTTCAGGTATACAATTGAGGTCGTGATGGGTGTAAATCTACCTACGCCTCACTTTTCAGAAAGGGGGAGAAATGTAATATTAGAAACTGGCGCCCAATATCCCTGCTAAACACTGTGTATAAGCTGTTGGCCAAAACTTTGGCCATTCGACTGGCGGATTATTTACCAGGGCCAGTGGGTGGGTGCCGATCAGGAAGCCTTTTTTGTCAAAGGCAGGTCAATATTGAATAACATTGTCACAGTAATAGAGTCGATGGAAATCATTTCTGAGGAACAGCTAGATATGGCAGTCCTGTCATTGGATTTGGACAAAGCCTACGACAGAGTCAGTTGGCCCTTTGTCATGATCACGCTGCCCCACACGGGTATAGGAAATAACTCCTGTTTATGGGCAAAACGTATGTATTTCTTTGCCGCTGCCTCGGTAGTGGTTAATGGTAGGATCTCAGAGCCTTTTCCATTGACCCGCTCGCTGCAACAAGGCTGCCCGTTGGCACCATTGCTCTTCGTTATGCCGATGGACGTTTTGTTGAGCAATGTGCACGGCAAAATCCTTACATTGTTGGGCGGGCTGAGAACTCAAAGTCAATCTCAGTTCAAGGGTAGTGCTCTCGCAGATGATCTCACGATAGTTACTACGAGAATTACATGACCAAGAATACTAGAAATACTTTATTTCGCCTTGTTAACAGCAGTAAGGGAGACTTTAGTAGAGTATTCTGATCTAGAAATACTTTAGCCTCGTCCACTAGAACTACATGACCAAGAATACTAGAAATACTTTAGGCTCGTTAGCAGCAGTGAGGGAGACTTTAGAAGAGTATTGTGATCTGTGGTGTGAGGCTCTCAGAGGTAAATTGGATAAAATCGGCCTACTTTCTCCCCGACCAATTTGTGATTTGCATGGACTTGCGTATGAAGAAAATCCCAGTTGACGACTTGGAAAGATATTTGGGTGTACAAGTGTCCCTTCAGAACTGTGCAGATGTACAAGATAAGCTACTGCAGGACAGAGTGGAAAGGCGCCTGCAGAAGTGGAAAGCCACATATGGCCTACCTCTGTTCGGAAGAGCATTGGTTCTCAATGCCTCTGTCTTTTCTCAGCTTTCGTATGCGGGCGCGGTTCATCGAATGGGCAAAAGGACAGCGAAGATTGTTTGAGCCTCAGCCGCGAAGTACATTTGGAAACCAGACGCGGAGGAGGATCAAGGGTACATGTCAAAACTCGGGTGGGATAAGTTGGCGGCCACTAAGGACGAGGGAGGTCTCGCCCTTCTTCTTGACCCACAACGCCAAAACGCAGCTTTGCTGTGTAAATGGCCAATCAAGGCAATGGTGGACACGGAGGCGAGTAGCTGGGTACTCCTGGCGGAGTACATCTTTGCAAAAGGATGGAATGTCAGCAGGGGAGAAGACGTTTGGATCCTCCTGATGACACAAGCCTGTCAACGGAGGAGACCTAAGTCTCTCTCCCTTTTGCCATGGCATCCTCCTGGCATGGAAGAATTTGGCTCCAGAACAGCTGAGGGAACCCCGCACTCGTGACAAAGTCCTGAGGCAGCCGCTGGTTGAGAACAAGTGGGTTAAGAAACAGGATGGTTGAACATTCGCATTGACAGGCCGAGGCAACTTGGGCAGGGGATTGGGTGGAGCGAGGGGTTGTGCGCACAACCCATTGACGGACTGTGGGACGACCTTCAGCAGGAACGGAGAACTGCGAACACTCTTCGATCCAAGCTTGGAAGGGTGTGGCATGTAGACAGAAGAAGAGAAGAGCTAATTCAAGCAATCCCGGAGGAGTGGAAGCAGCTACCGTTGGACTGCAATGTAATGCATCTGTGGTACCGCCCAGTATTGAGTACAGGCGGTGGAGTCTACAAGAGTGTGAGCGATAGCAAGGTAGAAGTATGGGAGCGACAGGTGAAGAATGGCCTTTCAACGGACGTTTTGATAAGGAAAGAAGAACGTGATCTGACGGGCCCCTGTCTGATGGAGGAGGTGAGGGTGTTTATGCAGTTCTCGCCCGGGGGGCAGTCCAACCGGTACTACTCCAGATCGAGGGCATGCCCATTCGGTTTATGCGCGTGGATGTCGGCCTGTTTGGCTGGCCCGAATTGAGAACAAAGCTGGAACTAACATAGTATAACTCCAAATTGGGCATGGCCATCCAGAGACTGCAAGGAAGCTCAATGATAAAAATTCAGGTGCGCATATGCAGTCAGTTACAGGTTCCTTCCTATCAGTAGAGTAGTATAAAGACTGTTGGACGATCCGCCTAAGGCTCCCGAGTACGACATGTGCCTCCCTGCTTTTGCAGATTGTACACGTAGCCCCGCTGGATGCGGTATCCCTGTTCCTCAGAGGGCTCGAGGTGGACATTCGGTGTGTCAGATGTCATCGTCATTCGGAAGACCCGGCACACCTATGGAAAGGAGATTGGGGATCCAAATGAGGTGGAATGGAACCTTTCCACTTTCATTTCGCATATGGAAATGATGGGCATATCATTGGAAGGAGATTGGGGTTCCAAATGAGGAGGAATGGAACCTTGAATATAGGCCATAATAACTGGTATACTACCTCCCTCCTTGTAACATAGGAGGGGGTGGGGGATACGTGGCAGTGGCGCTGCGCTCAGTGGGATTGTGGTGGATAAGGAAGGAACGAAATTCGATACTTTGAGGTACCTTTCTGACAAAGGTCTGAAGAGGGGCATGAAAGCCGCAGTCCGCAACATTATAACAGTAGACTGGAGAAGGAAGGTGATGTCCAAGAAGGAACCACACAGATATAAGGCCAGACTGACTGTGGTTTTTTAGGTCGTGCGCGAAGAAAAACAGGCTTGCGGCGGTTTCGCTGACGGGAAAACTTGTGCTATCAAGATGGCTCAGTTTGGAGTAGGAACGTCAAGGGCTGGGAAATTCGGGGGGGGGTACTAGTAGGTAGGTGCAGTTTTAGGCTTAGGATCATAGGGTATAGATAATGATGTCAGGATAAACAGGGGCAAAGGTGAAAATTTCAGTCAAGGCTGAGCTTTCCTGGTCGCTCGGCAGCTCTGAGT